CCCCCAGGCCCGCCTGCCCAAGCCGGCCGCCAACCTCATGGGCGAGTCCCTCAGCATCCCGCCCCGCAAGGGCAGCACCGCCGGCAGCGCCGACTCCCGCAGGACCGGCCCCGCCAGCAGCTGCCGGGAAGCTGCCGCCAGCGGCGCTCCCAACGGCGCCGCCAACGGCACCAACGGGCACGCGGCGGCGGCGTCTGATGCGGGAGGGGTGGAGGCGCTGGCGTCGAGCCTGGCGGATTACGAGTTGGTGGACGGCCCCGACGCGGGCCTGCGGGGCAGGGACTCTGGGCGGCTCTCGCTGGACAGCAATGCCAGCGCCATGACGGCGTGGGAGCGCGACAGGCTGGAGGGACAGACCTGGATAGGTGCGGCGGCTGGGATTCAGGGTTTAGGGCGCGGGCGGGCGGGCGGATGGGGCCGCTGGAGTGGCTGAGGAGGGTTGCTGCGCCGGCGAGGCAGGGAAGCGTCGTCGAAGTGAGGAAGCAGCAGGGCCCCGCGCTTTGTTGGGGTGTGGCCATCGCAGCAGCGGCGGCGGCGGCGGCCGCGGCGCAGTCCAGGAGCCGGCTCAGCGCTCTTGTTGACCGGCGGCTCGGCGTCGGCCTCGCACCTCAAGCCTGACAAATGCCATTGCTCCCTCCCCCCCTCCCCTCCTTGCGTCGCTACCGCTACCGCTGCCGCTACCGCTGCTGCAGTGCTGGAATACTGCGACAAGGGCTGCCTGCAGGTGCGGGGCGCGGGCAGGGCCAAAGCTACGATACGACGCCCGCCTCACTTCTTTCCGCTTTTGCGCCCATCTCAGCTGCTGCCGAGGACGCTGCCGCGCTTCACCCGCCGTCTTCACTGCTCGCGCTGCGCGCCCCTGCCGACAAGGCATCCGTCCTGGCTCTGGTGTACGCCGTCGCTTTCCGCTCTGCCAACGTCACCCTTCCCGCCCGTCGTCACCCGATAACGTCACTTGATGGCGTCACCCGCAGGACGCGGTCGACCGCGGGTGGCTGCGCAGTGGCCGCTCCTATGCCAACGCCGAGCCCGACCTGCTGGCCGTGCTCATCACCGCCCGCGAGGTGCGCTTTTCGTACGTTTGTCAGAGCGCTCGTCACTGGTCTGCTTTCGCGCCCCGCTGCGCCGCTGTCGCGTGAGCAACGAGGCGGACTGCTTGGCAGCGGAAGCTCGAGGGATCTGGCAGCCGCGGGGACGGGGCGCTGCAAGACGGCGAGACGCACGTGCACAAGCGGAGCCCGGCACCTGCACAGGCGACGCTGCGGCCCCCAACCCTCCCGACCCCACACCCTTCCCGGACTCCCACCATCGAAACCGCAAACCCCAGATCGCGTCCGCCATGCTGTACCTCCACTCTGTGGGCGTGGTGCATGGGGACCTGTCGGCTTACAACGTGCTGCTCACCAGCGCCAGCCCAGACGCGGCCCTGGCGGCGCGCGGCTTCACGGCCAAGGTCTCAGGTGCGTGTGCCGCCCAGCACCTGGCCCTCCTTAGCCCCCAACTTACTCCCGTTCCTAATCGGAATCAGCTGCACTGCGCGATGCACAACACCGCCTCCACGTGTGCATGCATCTGTATGCACACGGCCCGATGCCAGGTCACCATCCAGGCAAAATGCTAATGTTTGGGGATTAAGGTCAGGGCTGAGAATGGGGAATCCAACATTTCTGCGCGCCAAGTACACACGTGCACATCGACTCACGAGCTCACTCGTGTCGATTCACACGTCTGCGTTTTCACACATCTCTAGACTTTGGTCTGGCGCGCGTCATGGACCAAGGCAGCCGCATCGAGACGGCCACCTACGGCACCCTGACACACGTGAGTTGTCTGGATTAGGGATCAGCTCTGTGACGGAGCCGTCACTGTCAGGTGGTGGTCGTTGCAAGGGGGCGAGCTTGCGAAACGGGCAAAAGGGGGGAGGGCCTCACGTGACCTCCTGGCAAGTCCTTGCTGCCCTTCACACGGCGCGCCCCTTGGTTCGCATGAGCCTTGACGGGGCCCCGCCCACGGCCTCTGGCCCATCGCATGCTCCTTCCGTTCTCTGAACAGCCGCCACCCCCCCTATTGCCCTGCCCATTGTTATTCAGATGGCTCCTGAGGTGCTGGAGCATGGCATTGTGTCAAAGGCGGCCGACGTCTACTCCTTCGGGGTGCTGCTCTGGCAGGTGCGCGCGCGCACACACACGCAACACACACACACACACACACACACACACACACACACACACACACACACACACACACACGCACGCGCGCGCATCGCAGCGCGAGGGAGAGAGGAGGTTGTCGGGCACGGGCATGCCGCGACGGTCGCCGCCAGCTGGGCATAGCCTGCTTCGCCCCAGACCCCCGTTCTGGCGCGCGGCCTCGCCACTCCCCCGGCGTCGCCGCCCAGAGCATGACGCAGCCCTGTCTCTCCTGGCGTTTTCAGGCCTGCCTTGCCGGATTACTCCACGCCACCCCCCCCCTTCCCGGGATCCGGGTGGTTCCACCTCACCCCGGGCGCGGCTTCACACACACACACACACACACACACACACACACACACACACACAAAACTCGCCCCCCCCCCCAGATGTGCGTCGGCAGCCGCCCCTGGGCCGGCATGAGCCACGCCGCCGTCGTCCGCGCGGTGGTCCAGGAGCGCCGCTCCCTCGAGCTCGGGTCGGAGACGCCTGAGGGCGTCGCCCTGCTGGCGGGTGCCTGCATGGCGCGCGACCCCAACGAGAGGCCGTCCTTCAGGGAGGTGCTGGAAGTCCTGGAGCCACTGGGGGAAATGCTGGAGGAGGCGCTGGCAGGGGCTGAGGGCGCCTTCGCCGGCGGGGACGGCGACGCCTGAGGCGCGACTTGGCTGGCTGCCCGCCTCCTGAGGGCCGCGTGCGGCGGCGCGTTGGGGCCGGGCCATGCGCGCCGGGCCGCGCCTTGGTTGGTCGGACGCGCGGGCCGGCCCGCGTCTCTCGGAGGATTGCGTTTGGGTTTCAAGGATGCGCACACCGGGTGCACGAGGACTGTTTGACGGCAAACGCGTGGCTCGGAGCGGCAGGGGCACGGCAGCGCACCAACTCTCAACGTCAGAGTGCCTGCCCCTGCCTCCTGGCGCGCCACACGCGCCACGCCCCCGCCCCGCGCGAAGCCCCATCGCACGCAGCCGCTGCGGGAGCGCCTGCTTTCTTGGCGCTCCAAGGACCAGAGGCTTTGCGGTCAACACTGGAGTTTGACCCTTGATCTAGACGTATTACAGCCATCAAGGCAGCCGAGGCCTTGCTGAGCCTGCCGCATTGCTTGCACGCCGCGTGCGCCAATCTTATCAAAGCGCAATGACAACCTGCTTTTTTGCCAGTGATATTTGGTATCGTCATCAGCAATCTTTGGTCCCGCTTGCGATTTGGAAGGGGAGTTGTGGGTGCGTGTCAAAAGGGGTTATTGAAAAGGGGGCCGATGACCAGCGAGTGAGCGCTGCGGCTCCCAACAGGTGTCATCTTGCTTTTCTGCTGCCCATGTTTGGCAAACAAAACGCGTGCGGCGCGAGCATCACAACAAGATGGCTTGAAGTTTACGAGAGCGGCGCCCGGCGCCTGCGCCCATTGCGGCCGCGGCGGCGCCTGTGCCGAGTCCCCACTCGCAATCGGGGGGGTACGCCTGCGGTCTGAAAACTCGCAGGGCCCCCCTATCGCGGCCGCTTTCTGATTCTTTGGCGCGCCAGCGCCCGCGCGGCACAACCGCCCCCGGCGTACCTTTGTGTAGTGCAACCCTAGAGATCAATTCACACGCCACTGCCCCTCATTGGGGCGCGCGTGCCTGGCGGCTTGTCGCGCTGGACAGCCTCCCCCTTCTCTCCCCTGCCGTGCGTCAGCGCTGGCGTGTCCCTGGATTTTCCGCTCGCGCTAGTCCTCGACTGCGTGCTTCGATTGTTGCCCCATCACTGTTTACGCCCGCGCGGAACCCCTCCCTTGCTGCAGCACGCTGCAGTGCCCATCAAAACCCACGCCGGCCCCTGCAAATCCCGGTCGCCCTCCCCTTACCACCGAGACTCATGCACCCTCCCGTGGCCCGCGCCCATGGCTCCTTTACATGTCGTGCACACTAAGCGTGTATTGCGCCCTGCCTTTCTGAGAGGGCGCCTTGCGACGTCCAAGGATCTAAAACCTTCGCCGTCATGAGGATGTCCTTGGGCTGTTAGCAGCTTTCACAATCATGCAGCTGCCTCGCGCTGCGTTTGATTGCAGCGGGCTGAACGCTCACCGCTGGCACGCAGGCAGGCTTGCTGCCACGCTTTCTAGGGGGATGCTTTGAAGTATGTGATCGTGAGATGTGGGTGCACCTGGCCTTTCCACATGCGCAAGCAACATGCGCGGACCCTGCGCTTATCGACGTGATGTTGAGCGTCAAGCTTATGGAATTCTCTGCACAATGCGTGGGCAACCGGTGGTTGGGTCTCAAGTCGTGCGTCCTATCTGCCTTGTGTCGGTGTCTGTGCGCTGCCTTGTCGCGCTGATCTCTGCCAGAGTATGAACAGCTGCCTGGGTAAAGGACGCACTGTTGAACGCAGGCAGCTTGCTCCTCCACAAGCAGCAGCAACACCGGTTTGCTGAACCACAGCAGCGCAGTTCCCCCTGGGCTCCAACGCCAACGAGCACTGCCACCGCAAGCTCGATGCCTGTCCACTGACCACAGCCAAAGCCCCGCCTGGCCTGGGCTTGGCCGGCAACCGCGCTGTCGCCCGCCTCGACCTGTCCTGCACTGGGCACCACCGAGTGTCACCCCTCCCGTCGGCCCCAAATCATTCCCTCCAGCAAGCAAACAACAGACCGTGGTGGTGCATCCCAGACTCGACCCGGCCACCCCGAAAGCAGTCACCCGCAGGCAAGAGCGCAGGAGCGACGCGCTGGCTCAAGGAATGGCCCTGCCCCCGCCTGGCCCCTGCTGTCCACGGTCCACGATCCGCGGAGCGCCTATTCAAATCATGCCGAATGACCATCCCGACCACACGACGCTGACCGGTGCAGTGGCTGAAGCAACCGCAGGGCGGCCGACCCGGACTGCGTTGAGGCGCCCCTTCTTTCTGCGGCAGTTCCAACGTCGAGACTTATTGCACAGTGAACGCACGTCAAAGTCCGACGCCACCCTATGTTACTCATGGTCACATGGTCACAAGGGAGTCGGGACGAGGGTGGGGACGTTTTCTTCCGCAATACAACCACATAGCAGACACAGACACGAACACATACCACATGACAATAGGGATCCAATGCATACAAATGTGTTCTATAGAGTTGTGAAGGTTGTGAGACAGAACTCACTGAACACTTAGAATTGTCCTTACCCCAGCTAGACTAGCAGGGCATGGGTTCTGCAGCGCGCCGTTGCATTCTGTGCTGCGCAGATGCATTGCGCGGCTGCACCGGGCCCTGTTGCACACGCAGGGCCAGCCTTCATTTGAACGCACATTCATGACCGCCAGCCCGCATGCTGCTGCTGTTGCTGCTGCTGCTACTGTTGCTGCTGCTGCTGCTGCTGCTGCTGTTGCTGTTGGTACTCCTGCTGTGGCGCCTTCTGCTCCTCCTGTGCGTGTTCCCACTGCGGGCCCCGAGGCCCGCCGCGTCCAACGGCGCTCGAGCGCCGCGCAGCAGCCCGCGCGGGGCCCTCCGCCGCCCCCGCCGCCCCCGCCGCCGCGGGCGGCGGCCGCGTTTTTGCCGCCCGCGCCGCGCCAGACGCGACTGACGCCAGCAGCTTGGCCGCCGCGTCGGCGGCCTGCTGCAATGCGCGGGCTTCGGAGCGCGCATCCGCTGCGTCGGCCTCTGCATGCCGCTGCGCAGCCAGGGCCTGGCACAGCTGCTGTTTGAGGACGACGGCCTCCTCCCTTGACTCCCGCGCGGCCTGCGCCGCCCTCGCAAGCTGCGCCGTCGCGCCCTCCTCCCCCTGCCGCGCCTCCGCCAGCTGCTCGCGCAGCCCCCTGACCTCGCTCGCGTGCGCCATGGCGGCCGCCGCGGCGCGCACCTGGGCTTTCAGGACCCGCGCTTCCGCACCCGCCAGCCGCTCCCGCATCTCAGCCACTGCCGCCTCGCGCCCGGCCTGCTGCTCTCCCTCCTGCCTCCCCGCCGCCGCCGCCGCCGCCAACGGCGTGCCCACGGGCACGCGCTCGCGGCGGGCGGCGTCCGCCCGCAGCTGCTGGTTGGCCGCGTCGAGCGCGCCGCAGCGCCGCCGCAGCTCCTCGAGCTCGGCCTCGGCCCGCTCTGCGCGCAGCCGCAGGTCTTCCCCGTACCGCCACTGGCGGATGTTCTGCAGGCAGACCTGTCGTGTCGGGATGCGTGGGTCGGCCGGGTGTGCGGCTGGGCACGGGTGGGAGTGGACAGCATGTGAGTGCGTGTGGGCGTGCTTGTGCGTGGCCCGGGTTGAGCCTGATTTCGTGATTTGATGACGCAGAGCGCACCGCACAGCATGCGTCGCAGATCGGCGTGCGGAACATGCACGTGCGCACCACAGATGCACTCAACTGTCGAACACGCGTGCACACGCCAACATGCACGCAGAGGCATGCGGACCACCAAGCTGAAGCTGTCGCGGGCACGCATGCGCATGCAGGGCTTGCCCATTCGCAGGCCCCACCGAAAAGTAGCCGCCCTTGCCCTTGCGCCCATAGCTCAGCAGCGCCTCCTCGCCCCGCGCCACGCGCCGCTTGGTCAGCACTATGAGCATGGGTATGAGCTCTCTGTCTGCCTTCTTGAACACCACCATCCGCACGTGGCAGTTGGCGCGGCGGTTGCGGTAGCTGCGCGGGGAGGATCGGAAGCCGGGAGCGGTGCGCGCGGGCGTGAGCATGAGCGGGCGTGAGCGTGAGCGGGGTCAAGGGACGGAGCTGAGCGGGCGGGCTCGGCGGCAACAGGTGGCGAGCGGCGGGGCGCGTGCAGGACGCAGAGGCCGCGGCGCTCACGAGTCGCAGCGGCAGGCCGCGCCCTGGGGGCAGGGCTGGGCGGCGACCGCGGGGTCGTCCAGCCAGCAGGTCGGGTCGTTCAGCAGCACGCCGCGGCAGAGCCGCTCACGGGCGCCGCCGCCGCCATCGCCGCCGCCGCCGCCGCTGCCGCTGGCGATGTCGAGGTGCGCCTTTCCGCGCGTGCTGAGCTGCAGCCCCTCCCACATGCCCGCCTCGCCGCCGTCCTCATCCTCGGAGTCCCCCAGCTCGCCGCCGCCGCCGCCCTTGTCCTCCTCCTCACCCTCCTCCTCTGTGAGGCCGTACACCACCCGCTGCTGCCCCCTCACCGGCCTGCGTTCAACGCACGCACGCATGGATTATGCGCGACACACAATAGGCGCCCGCGCCTGCCACTTTTGCAGGGTGCTCGCCATCCACGACCTCAAGATAGCTGAGCGAGCAGCATTTGGTCCCCTTGCCTCCCTGCCCATCCGCATGCACTTGGGTGCGTGGATCAACCATGCTCACAGCGCATGGTTAAAGGTGTAGACGTGGTGCAGCCCGACAAACCCCCTGAAGTCATCGCTGGTCTCGTCGCTGTCGTCCATCTGAGTCAGCACGCGGCCGTAGTAAACCGTCACCAGGCGGCCGGGGGCGAGGTCCTGGTTCACCTTGATGCTGCGCGCGCACGAGCGTGGCGCGAGGGTTGGTGGGGCGCTGTCGTCGCGTGTGTTCAAGTGAGGGCGAGGGGGTGAGGGGGCCACGGGGGCGCTGTGCATGTTGCTGTGTGCGTGAGCGTGGGCATGCTGGTGCAGAGCGCATGCGCGTGCACACAGGCAGGCTCCGCATACGGATGTGCCCAACGTCGATTGTCAATCAAGAACATGGAATCATCCCACAAGGATCCGTGTTTGCCCCGCCGCGGCTGCGGGCGCCGCACTCACCACATCGGCGGCTGCTGCTGCTCTCCCTGCTGCGGCATCGAGATGTCTGGGAAGGGGTTGCGGTAACAGGGGTGGCACCGGCACGCCACCGCCTCCACGCGCGTGCGGCGCTCCACCTCCCTGCATAAGCGCAAGCGAGAGGTGGGAAGGCGCACGGCATGCGGCAGATGTGGCGCGATTGCAAATAGTGAAGCTTGCTTGCCAAGGCCGACCAAGGTCTGTCCTGAGCAGTCGGGGGTGGGTCTGATGCGTGGGGGCTGCGGCGGCGCAGCCAGTGCACACGGTCGCGGCAGCTGTGGGCCTGCACACAATTTCCAGGGTGGGGGGCCGGGCATGCTGACCTGGCGGTCTGCGGGTCCAGCAGCTCGTCTCTCAGGCGTTCTGGAAGCTCAACCAACACGATGCTGCAGAGATTGCGGGGCATATTTGAGGGGGGGAAGAAATCAAGCAGCGCAGGGAGGACAAGAAATTAAGCGAGATTTGGGTCGGACAGGGGTAGGATCAGCCTCCACGAGTGGGGAGGGAGGGCCCAGCACGCGCCACAGCCACGTTGCAGGCAACGCCGGCGCCGACAAGAGCCGACCGTGGGGGCGAACGGAGGGCGTGGCGGCAGGCGGCCCGACAAGCGGCTCGCCGACCGGGTTGCACGAGCACGATCCGCGAGCCGGCTGATGGTATGAACCCACCTCGCAGAGTCCCCCTGGCCCTGGTCCACCATCGGCAGATAAAACTGCCCCACCTTGGCACCCGCAGGCGCCCAGGCCCGCAGCCCCTCGAAGCCCCCATCATCCGCGATGCACAGCTGCCGCGGCGCGGCCTTCCGCGGCCGCTTGCCGCGCTGGCGGGCGCGGGCGCCGCGGCGGGGCGGCGGCGGCGTCGGCTGGGAGGGGGGCGTGGGCTGGGGGTCGTGCTGCGGGCCCTGGGCGGGCAGCAGCAGATCCGCCAGCTGCTCGAGGGCTGCCTGGTCAACGGTTTGACCCTGCTCTACGTAATCCACATAGGCGGCAGCACAGGCCGCTTCCGCGGGAAAAGGGTACACGCTGCGATGGCAGGGTGGGCGGTTGATGAGGTGCTGCAGCAAGCGGGTGAGCCGTGCCTGGGATGACCGCATCCTTGTGATGCGACGTCCCCGCGTGCGCGCATTGCGTGCAGTGGTGCGCAGGACAAGTCGCACCACCCCTGCGTTGCTCAGAGGCCGGACATCAGCCCTAAGTCGCGGCGGCCTGCCCAGCAGGGCCGGGCCCGCACCTGTATCGCCGCTGGAGCTCGTCGTCGGCGTGACCGCTGCCGCCGCCGCCGCTGCCGCCGCCAACCGCGGCGGCCGGCCCACCCGCCAGCCCCGGCCCGCTCGGGCCCGCGCTGCCATTCATCTGCACTCGGGTGCCAGCTTTGGGGCCCGTAGAAGTGGTGGCCTCGGCTGCGCTGCGCACTGGCGCCCCTGCCCCCACCGCCGCCGCCCCCACTGCCGCTGCTCCCGCCGCCGCGGCCCCCACTGCCGCTACTGCCGCCGCCGCAGCCTTTACTGCCGCCACTGCGGCCGCCGCAGCCCCTACTGCTGCTGCTGCCGAGGCGGGCTGCGCTTGCCGCGAGCGCTTTCGTGGGTCTCGCTGGCAGGGGCTAGACTGCGAAAGCTGCTGGGACTCGCCTTGCCCGCGCCCTTGGGGACCCTGCAAAGCCTCGCCAGGCGGCTGCTGCTGCTGCTGCTGCTGCTGCTGCTGCTGCTGCTGCTGCTGCTGCTGCTGCTGCTGCTGCTGCAGCTGCTGCTCCTGCTGTTGCTGCAGCTGTGGGTGCTCGCGCCGCCGCTTTCTCCCTGGCTCCGTCGGTTTCTGGCACATCTGCTGCTGCTGCTGCTGCTGCTGCTGCTGCTGCTGCTGCTGCGGCGGCGGGGGCGGCTGCTGCTGCTTCTCCTGCCGCAGCTGCTGCTGCTGCTGCTGCTGCTGCTGCTGCACTGGCTGCTGCGATGGGGACGTGCGCGCCGGAGGACCGGGCGCCGCCTGATGCTGCTGCTCCAGCTGGGCTTGCTGCGGCACCCGTGCGGGGGCGCCAGCATCCTGCAAACTTGCAGCCTGGGCTGGCGCCCCTCCGCTGGCTGGACCAGCCGCGGCGCACCACCTCCCCTTGCTGCCGTCGCGCGCGCCGCTGGCGCAGGCAGCGGCGTCGCTGTCGCTCGCGGCGTCAGGCGGACCAGGGGCAGCGGCCAGGGGGCTGTGAGGCTCGACGGGCGGCCTCCGACCCGCTGAATGATCGCCCGCCCTGCCCCTTTCGCTGCGATCTGAGCTGGAAGCCGGCGCCTCACGCACACGCGCACCTGGCTCCTCCTGCTGCCGCTCACCTTCCTTGCCATAAGCACCGCCTCCGCATACACCCAGATTCATCTGCACCTCCTTTCGCTGCTGCTGCTGCTGCTGCTGCTGCTGCTGCTGCTGCTGTTGCTGTTGCTGCTGTTGCTGCTGCTGCTGCTGCTGCTGCTGCTGCACCAGCACCTGCTGCTTCTGCTGCTGCTGCTGCTCTGGAAGCTCCTTGATGTCCGCCTTCTCCGCCCCTGGCTTCTCTTTGCGGCCATCCATCGCGCCCAGCTCGACGGCTGCGTCCTCGTCGCTGCTGCAGTCCAAATGTATGACCCCCTCATCATCCGTCCACTGGCTGCCGTTGCAGCCGGGCTGCTGGGGCTGTGCGTGCGGCTGCAGCAGCGACGGCTGAACAGGCAGCTGCTGGGACCGCAGCTTCGCCTCCTGGGTGACGTCATCCAATGCACCCTGCGTCAAATCCACCACCGCTGACGCGCCCCGGTTCGCGCTGACCGCGCCGCCACGCCCGGGCAGCGCGCCCGCCACACCGCTGCCGCCGCCGCCGCCGGCCGCGCTGGCGCCACCGCCGCCGCTGCCAGGCGTCGAGCCCGCCGGCGACCCCTGGCTCCCGCTAACGGCGTGGCTGCCGCAAGCACGCAACCCGCCAAGCGCTGGTCTGCCCCTGGCATTGAAAGCAAGGGGGCTGCCCTTGCTCGTGCCACGCGGGCCGGGGATGCCGCTGCCGAGCGGGCAGGCGAGGGGCGTCACGTTGGCTCGGTCTTCGCCCATTTCGAGGGGCGAAGGCAGGCTGCCAACATCGCGGAAAAGCTGCGCCGGCTGGAGCGCCGGCGTCGCTGCCGCAGCGGCAGGCGGCCCTGCGTGGCGTGCTGGCGTGCTGCCCTCGCCCTCTGGCGTGTCGAGGCGCTCGCTAACAGCACCAGACAGCCTCCGCTGCGGGTCTGTCGGCGTGCCTCTAGCGAAGCTTTGAAAGGTCGCGGGCAGGGAGCCACGCAGCTCTGTTGGGGTGGTGGCGATGCTCTTGCTGGGGTGCGCCATTTCGCGAACCCGTCGCCCGGTGCCGCCGCTATGAGAGGTTCAGGAGCCGATGTACATGCCTCAGCCGGTTGCCCTACGTTTCTGCATCGCTCTACTAGACCCTACCAGGCCTGCATCAGCTGGTGGTTCGACGGGATGTCAACACGCATGCCATTGTAACAAAGCGAGCATGGCAAGCGCTTCTGACGACATGCGCATCCGAAGTCGGGCTGTTATCATCCATCTTGTTCGCGATCCGGGACACCGCGCAATCTCAGTAGCCGTTGAAAGCCTACAGAATAGAGACAGGATAGTTTGGTGGATGCCATCGATACTGTAATAACAACGTGATTTGACATAAGCGGCATGGGGTCAAGCTCAGCCAAATGACAAATGATCTCTCGCGCATGGGCCTCGTTTGGCCCTGACGCAAGGCGCGCCAGCGCGCAGACGATCACCTTTGCCACTGCAACCAACTCTGAGGTGTATCCTCAACCGTGTTGAGCCGATTACGTTGATGGTTTCAAGCGAGCGCTCCGGCACCCGGCACCTGGCACCTGGCGGCCACGCGATGACTGAAAAGTGCCAGACACCATACGACCCTTCAAGTGTAGCCTGGTAGTCAGCCTGCATACCTTTGATTGCGCAACGAGTGTCAACAGCACCAGCGTCTGGCCGAGCAAAGGGCGTCTGGTTTTGCCCGCGAGGCAAGCGTACGCTGAGCTTGCGCGCAGCACAGGCCCAGAGGCCAAGGAGGGCTGCGCCACCCATTCCCCAAACTGCATGTTTCTAATCACACATAGTCTAGCTGTAATTGTGTTGCTTTCTGTGTCTTTGTCACCCCTTGGACCGCCGTCATGGCAAGGGTCCAGAGTCACCCACTGGCGATTTTTGTTGGCCAGGACCTGCAAGGGCCACGCAATGCTGACCTGTCGCAGCGCAGCCCTGGAAACACACAGCCCACTGCAGTGGCAGCCGTCCTCAATACATCATCACAATGGTGTGCGATGCGTGAGAGCGTATTAGTCTGTAAACACCCATGCAGTGCGCATTTGAAGATGCGCAGGATGCATTCATTTTAGGTGCCAGGGTGCCTGCAGCGAGCCAATGGCACTTCAAGTGGGCCAGGAGGTGGCAGACACAAGCTGACAAATGCATATCGCATCGCCCCAGGGAGGAGCAGATGTTGGCTCTTTCTTGATACAATAACAGCTCGTACAGATCGTAATTACGTTGTGAAATGCTGCCATGGAACCCCAGCATGCAAGCAGGCGTCACTTGAGGGCGTGCGCCAGCCTGCGCCAGGCGCAGGACACAAGTGTCCGGCGCGCGCGCCTCGCGGGCCAAATGTGCCTCCTAAATGCGAAAAATTCTTCCCACGATATTGCTTTTCCAATCGGTGGTGCTCAAGGCAGCCCTGCTGTAGGCTGCCACTTGATTCAATGGTGTCAAAGGTGGCGATCATCGGGACGGGCGCTTTTGCCCAGGGCTGCGCAGCGCTGATCAACAGCTCGAGCAGCGGGGCCTATGTCAAGATGGGCTCTCGCTCCCTTAAGGGCGACTGTGAGGAGGTATGCGTGGCAGGCAGGGGTGCTGGGGGGGAGGGCCGGCTGCACGACGCCCCGCCGCCGCCGCAAGGGGCCCTGCCGAGCTGGCGGCGGCTGCGCGAGATCACAGCCGCCGCCGCCACTGTGGCGAGATCGCCTGCTCAGCTGCCAAATGCCACCTGCCCATGATGGCCAAATTTTTTGTAGGTAAGTCCCGCGCAACCCGCCGTGCCCATCACCCCACTCTCTGACCCCTCTCAGGTCATTTTCCCAGGCCTCGAGGCCAGCCCTGTGGTTCCCATCCCTCGCGCCTTGGACGGTGCAGCCATCGTTATCCTCGCCATCCCAGCCAAGGGGCTGCTGCCGTTCGCCGACACCTACGGGCCCCTTCTTGCGGGCAAGGTGCGCAACAGGGATCAAGGCGTGCCCCGCTTTGCCGCCCCCCGGCAGCTGGTGCCTCCTGCGCCTTGGCTGGCTGGCGGCTTCAAGGGACAGACGTTCCATGAGTCGCGCCACGCCAACCATGTTTGGTGAGCCCCCCATACTGAGCATGCAATCGACAACACGCGCGGTCTCATCATACCCGAATTGATAGGTGGTAGTGGATGTCACCAACCCCTCCCCAGAGGACCTCCGCCACATGGCTGCGACCCTGGGCGGGGCCGCCCCCGCCCCCGCCAAGCGCGCCCTGAGGCCGTCCAAGGCCGTCGCGACCGTGGTCGGCGCGGCCATGCGCGACGCCGACGCACGTGACCAGGCCCACCGCGCGCGCAGTGCTGCAGCGGCTGCGGCTGCCGGCGGTCAGGGGGCCTTTGGGGGTGGGTTTGGCACCAAGGACGTCAGCGACATTGAGGCGTTTGAAGGTGCGTTGGGGGTTGCAAACGCGGTGACAGGTGGCAATGAGCACGTCGGCTGCAATGCGTGTGCATGCATGCGGTGTGTGCGAGCGGAGAGGGTTGGGGCTGCAAGCGCACTAGTGCACATTGTGCCTCCTCGCAGGCCGCCTCCCGGAACCCGCCAGCCACCTCCCCTCTCCGACCCTCACTGCTTTCTGGCCGCCTCCTGATATGACCGCTCCTTGGCAAACCGCTGACAGGCTGCACCGCAGTGCTGCCGGCCTCATCCCAGTCCGCGGCGCTGCTGCTCCAGGAGTGCCTGTCCCGCGTGGCCCCCGGCGCCGCCGTCGTCAAGAGCATGTGCAACCTCTCCTCCTACATGCTGCTGCATGGGGACCCGCTGACCGACATTATGAAGACCGTGGCCGCGTCTGACAGCCCCGAGGTGCTGAGCCTCACTGCATGCTTTGCAGCATGCGGCCTCTGCCTGTGGGTCTTTGGGCTCTTGTCTCAACCCTGGCATACGCTGCTTCTCCAATCGTGCAGCATCAGGCTCCGAGCGATGCTGGTCGGGCGATGCCGCTGCACATTGGGCCGAAACTCAGCAGCATGCCTTCACTGCTCTGTTTGCGCTGGCATTCAAGCTCCCTGCTCAACGCCCAATCTCAGCACCCCAAAATCCCCCTCCTCCTAGGCGGCTGCAGCATTCCAAACCCTGGGCCAGGCAATGGGCCTGGAAGTCAGGTAGGTGTGTGTGTGTGTGTGTGTGTGTGTGTGGAGGGGGGTGAGAGTGTGCTGTCTGTTTTGCACAGTTCCCAGATTCAGCCCATCTGGCTGACTGAGGGACGTCCTTGCGCGTGCAAACAAACCAAGACAGCACCCTACTCTTGAATGCTGTTGGCAACCTCTGGCGCACTGCAGACTATCCTTGCTCACAGCGCAGCAGCAAGCCCGCAGGCTAGCAGCAACAACTATTCCATCCGACAGCAAATGTCCTCCAAAATCTTGTGTTCCCACCCTGGTGATTTAATGTTCACTTCGGCAACTCAGGACCGGCCCCGGCCTGAGGTATGCCTCCACGCTGGAGGCGCGCCAGCGCGGCGTGCTCACCGACTGGCAGGTGCGGTTGTTTTCGTGCATGCGACTGCCCTGCAGCACTTGTGTTGTTGCGCCATGGGCAAACATCTTGTTGAAATCACAGCTGCATAACAGCAACTCTGTTCACCCGCATGAGTAGATAGCGTAGAGGGTCAGCTCTCTCACAAAGATCACCTGCCTGCCACCACTTTCTCACACACCGATCTTATGCCCTGCTGCAAATCTCCCTCAACAGGTCTCTTTCTGGGTCATGCTTATCAGCTGGGTGCTGATGCAGGTGCGTGTTCATCTGCGCCTGCACATTCGTCCCAAATTTCACATCAGTGAAGTGGGTGGAGTGGTCCTGGGCCAGTGCAGATGATATCAAAACAGCCTCAGCATGAAGTTTGCGCAATGTGGTGTACTGACCCATCTCCTTCTATCCTTTCACAACTAATGTTTCAGATCTACACTGCCGTGCGCTACAACCAGTACGGCAACGAGCCCTGGGAACACATCGTGATGTGGGTGAGTAGGAAACCAACGCCGGCGCCTGAAAGCAACCGCATTGCTGCTAATGAGACGCCCAAGGCACCCGGCTGCTTTGCCTCGTGACCCTGTCGCTGGGCCCATGGCGGTATTGGGCACTCAGGGCGCGGCACCATCCAGGGGCAAAGCTCCGGCGAATTGCAGGCGAACTCATTTGCATGTTATGTGCAGGTGGTACCTGCATGCGCAACTTGCCCACGAGTCCGCTGTCGATGGACAAGGCCCCATGCACGCCACACCAGTGTGGCTAATCCTTGACAAATTGGTCCTGTACGACCTCGCAAATCCAACCTCAGATCACCAACAAGAGCATTGGCTGGCTGTCCCTGTGGGGCATGATGTACACGTACGCCCCTGGCACAATCGTGTGCTTCATGCAGCTGGCCATGCGCCGGGGCTCCATCAGGCTGCCGCGCTGGATGCACAGGTCGGTGGGCCGAGGGACGCCCCCCTCGGAGGGGGGGCTCTCCCATCATGTGGGCGCCCCGCTGGGTTTCAAAGCACCAGCGCATCTGCTTGCGGCTCGCCCGCCCATCATCCTCTTTGCGGGACGTGCACTCTTCAATAATACTGCCTGTTTTGTGACTCGATTCTCCCCCACCCATCCAGCTGGCTATCAAACCATCAGCCGGAAGCATTGTCTGTTTCCCTGCTGCCGTTCTGCCAACCGACATGCGTTTCCAACCTGCCTGCGGTCCCTAGGTGGATGGACATGCGCAAGCCCCTGGGGCTCCTGACCCTGGCCGCCTTGATCATGCACCTCCTCCTCTCCACCTTCCTCTGGGCCCCCGGCTACTACGCCAGTGAGCGGTTGTAGATACTGCATAGAAACCATGCCTGATGTCTGCTGCTCAGCGGCATGCATGCTGCACATACAGCAACCTCTCATCTGCATGCATTTGTAGATGCCACATCAAAGCTGAAACAAGGCTGATGCTGCCTGCGACACGTCTTCACCACCAAGCACAGCAAATGGATCATCCCTCATATAAAAACACCTGCAATCCCTCAAAACATATCTCAAATCAATGCTGAGCCTGCTGGCCCTGGGAGCTACCATTTCCCCTCTCCCGCAGCCATCCCGCGGGCC